GTTCATCATCTGGGCGTGTGCCCGGATATGACCTCAACTTCTTTATTGTGTCAAAAGTGGGGGGTGGGCGTTTGTCCAGGCATGGGCTCTTACCCGGATAAGTACGGTATAAGGAAGAGTTTATGGTCCACCAGGCTTCATTTCATGGCCTTCATATTTCGATGTATTTTTAATTGTTTTCAAGATAACTTCAATATTATAAAATGTATTCTTTTTCAGCTGAGTATGCCAGTGCTATAGAAACACTGGTCACTGCCATATCTCTCATCAAACAGTCTAAGGTATCTTCTGATGATCGATGTAAAGTACTAATCAGCTCTCTCCAAGACTGCCTTCATGGTATTGAAAGCAAATCCTATGGTTCTGGGTCAAGGTAAGGAATGCTCACTTTTAGTTGACATTTATAAATTTTAAACTAATAAAATATGATAAAGTATAATCATAGGACTTGCTTGTCAACAATGTAACCTTCCGTAGATTAGAAACAAGTAAGTTGTTTAAATGAACAAATTATATTTTAGATTTAGGAACAATGTCTTCCCTGAATTGCTGTCTCTGTATAGAAAGGAAAAGACTGCCTGAACTTATTTTGGAAATTCATTACAAATATGTTTATGTAAATATATATTCATCTAGCAATCCCTGATGAGAAAATGCATTGGATTTCTGTAAATCTTTGTCTTCAAGGTCCCAATAGAGATACAGAAGTAGAATTTCTGTCTGAGTAGCACATTACATCAAGTATTTCCATGTGCTTTCAGCCACTAGTACAAAGAGGAAGTAATATTGTGTCTAAATCTGTCAGTTCTGTCGTCAAATTGTTCAAAATGTGTTGATTTAAGTCATATTTCAATGATGTCCCTTACTAAGTATCAAAATAATACTTTATCTCCCTAAGGCGCAAAGACAGAGGTACATCTCATGACAGAGAAGAGAGGGGCCATCGGTCATCTCGTGATAAGAGCCGTCACAAGGAACGCAGAGATCGTTCACGTAGCAAGGATAGAGGAGAGTATCGTGAAAGAAGTCGGGACCGAGAGTACAGAGAACGTGACCGAGATCGTGATAGAGATAGAGAAAGGGAACGTGAACGTTATCGACGATAAGCTTTAGTTTTTCTTGAGGTAAGTAGGAGGATCAGAAAGCGTTTTAATAAATAAGGTACATTCTTTCGAAGATTATTCATTCGTACGACTATGCATCATCTCCCATATGGGGAAATATAGAAATTAACAGTGTTAATTTGTTGCAGTTGCTGCTTCAGAAAGTGAGCTGTTATACATGTAGGTGTTGGTAAGCAGCAATTCTCTCCACAGATCAATGTGACATTTACTGTATTCCATATTGGAAACACATTATGTAAATACAATGTAGTTGGTCTTTTTTGGGGCTTCTTTGGGAGATGCATGATGTGTGCATCATAATGAGTTTTCTACCCGTAAATTTTTTTGTTTCAGTTAAAGTGTTTCCTAATTATCTCTTTATTTACTTTGTGAGATCCTCACCTGAACTTGTTGTTTGTTGATCAAAAACGTTTTACTGTCTAACTGTACAGAATAGTACCCATATTTTGCCACTGACTATTATTTGGCCCAAGAGGCTTTCATCATTTGAAACCATTTGTAATGCTTCTTTTCAGCTGGGTTTCAGAGCAAAAAAAATTAAAGTGGACAGATATTAGTTTTATTTACACATATGTGTATTGCCACTTTAGGTTCAGGTTAAAGGTACGAATTTTCTCTCTGGAATATCACTGGGTTTATTATGGTGTCATATAAATATATATATTGGCTAATCTTGTGTCTATATATTATTGCCTAGTGAACGGCGAGCAGCAAAGTTATTTTCTCATATCATTTTGAGTTTTACATATTTCATTTGTATTAATTGCACTGCGGTAAAAATTGACAAATACTTAGTTTACTTGGACACACTTAGTGTCCATAGTTAGTGTTATTTTATCCAACACAGTACCGGTACATCTAAAATGTTGCGTTGAGTGTTTTTTTTTTTTTCACTTTTTATTTACTGACTGTTCCCTTATATATATAAAAAAAAATGTTGACAGACCTTAATTCGTTCATGTAGTGGTTCTCTTTCTTGCAAAATATGAATAGCGTGACACGTTAGAAAAAATTACAAATGAACTTTATATTTTAGAAGAAATGTTCAATACATTTAATTTTACCGGATTTGGTGTTGCAAAGTTGATCACTTGTTTTAAATTCACTGGCATCTGAAGAAAGCTTTACATTCTGTTAAATATAAAGATTAATTGGGTTTTAATATAAAGTTTTAATATGTATCAGTGAAACAAATGAAAACCCAGCTAGTAATTGGCAGTATATTCATTGTACCTCTTTTCAAAATCACTGCCCCATCCAGTTTTTTAAAGAGAAATGTTTCAACTTATAATTCCTCTTTAACATTGTCAATGAGCTGTAGTCAGCCTGGTCAATTGCTGAAGCAGTATTATATAAAGCAAAATCCTAGGAATATCTTTATTAGTGTGAAGAGCAGTTAGTTCTAGAGTCTGCATTTCTCTACTAAGCAATTCCAATTCTATTTGTTTAAAGCTATACTCTGTCCAGTTTTATGAAAAATTAATGGCATATAATTTGTAAACTTTGTTAGTGTCCTATTTGTCTGAATCATGTTTTGAACTACACTGCCATTTCTTCAGCCTTCCTGAATAGAACATGTTTTGGAACTAAATATTTTCTATTAGTAATGCATACATTGGTTATATTTGGATGATGCAATAATTTGTGTGCTTTTCTAAGGGATGCACTTCTATTTGAGTAAATACAGCAATAATATTTTTAAAACTGACAAGGAAAGTTCAGCTTTAATCATGAAATGTCTTAAATATCAGTACATGTCCATGTTCAATGTAATTACTTCATCCTTCTTTTATATAGCATTATAACATAGCCAAGATGGAAAGCAGTGATGCCATCAAAAAGATTGTCTTTTGTAATGCATAATCCTGTGTTAAGAATCTTAAAGGCTCATTTGCTGTGATTTCTGTCCTCGTGCTGCAAAAGTAAACATGTTCCAAATTGACTTTGTTTCGTATACTTGAACTAAATGTAAAAGCTATATTATTATATTTTGGTTTGTATTTTGAGAATCTTGGTACTGAACTCTGCACAATCAGGACCCTATCAATTCTTGAAAAACATTGCCCTGGTAAAGTGCATCTCCAATAGAGGCATATATTAATGTCAAATGTGATTTCGCTGTATTGATTTCGCTTTAAGAGCATGCACAATTTATTCCCACTTATGGGTCTTTATCATTCAATCTTAACTTAATTAATATACAAATTTATGCAAAATATTTAAGTATTTAGCAGACATTGCAGGGAAACAAGAAACAAGATGGGTTATATATTGTGTTGTAGTAAGGGGTAATTCAAGTCTTATAACTAAATCTACTGTCTTTCGTGCCATTTCTTTACCTACTGCTTGTTTGCTTGTACTGCCTACATATAATGGCTTCTGTGATTGCTTAATTTGTACTGCATTCTTTTGTAATTGAACAGGATAGTTAAATTCACCAAAACAAAACAAAATATCTTTAAATATCTTTAAATATGTTGTGATATTTTATTCTCATTGTTGGTTTATTCCACAAGTGGAGATACTTGCCAGTAAATGTAGCCTATACAAGTTATTGCTGAAATAATGATTATTGTTGAACTTTCTAAGGATAACCATACTACATGCATAATCATAATAGACTTGTGGTATCTGCTTTTTCAATGTGTATTATTTTCATTAAATTATTATATATGTAGCTGTATTTATTCTATTTTTAGCCTGAAATGGAGTGCAGTGATGACATCAGATTTATTTTATTTTTTCAACCTGTTAAAAATATTTGTCATACTTTTGAAGACTGAAGGCATGAAGGGAAATTTTTCAAATTTGGTAAATTTCGAAAATGCATAAACCTCAGCTTGATTTTTATAGGGTTACTATTCTGGGACAAACTTTGGAATTGCTGCAGTTGTCTGATGCTTTCCTAATAGAAAAAAAGCATTGTTAAACATTCATCTGTCAAATTGCTGAAACTTGCATTTTCACTACCATCTGCACAATTTTTGATGCCTTCAGTTTTCCTGGGTAGTCATGTATTATCTTATTGTTAAAACTTCCTAACATGTAATTTGTTTCCACAGTAGCCTGCTGCAGTTTAAAATAGTTTGTAAAATTGTTAACCTTTTGTTCATGGTTACATGCATGTTAAAAACATTTATTGAACAGTTTCTCTTCTGCTGTCAGACGTAATAACCACATGTTTGTCATTCATTATGTTGACTGCAACAGTGTTTAAATGTCATTAGTTGTTGCATTTATGAAATATATATAAAACGTTTGATATTGCTAATAATATTGCATAAGTAAAAAAATATTGTATATTGGCAATGACAACTGGTATGTTACTATTGGCTGATATAACCGTGGTTTTACAGTTATCTTATTTTGTTTCTATAGATGGTAAATAGCAAATGTGTACATGCAGAATTGATTCATTTCCTTGCATGTAAAAACATGAAGTTACATTATGGGATAATACTTTAAGGTTTACTAGAGTTTTGGTACCTATTGTGTGACATATTTAATTCTAATGATTTTCAGTATGCCAAAATGTTACTGATCATTTTGATAAATATTTCAATTACATTTCCAATAATATGCTTACCACACCATCAAATATGTCAACAAAAATTCCGAGCTCCAATAAATAGAAGTGCCATCTCTGAGTGAAACTTTAGCTGTCTTATACCGTACTAGGTTACAAGGTCAGTTATTTTATGTACATAAAGGGTGACTTATTTTGTTCTGTGTATTGTTTATTTAAATGTGGCTACTGTAGATTACTTTTTTTCCACTGTATGCCCTCCAACTTTGGATTTAGGGTACTCGGGTCCTAAACTTATGTTAGTTACAGTGTTTGTTTAAAATTGTGAATACGTCAAAGACAATGCCAAATGGGAGATTATTTAAAGTCAGCAGGGGTGTAAAAGCAGCTTTTCTTTGAAATTGTGTTCTAAGATGTTCTAGAAAAATGTTAAAATGTCCTCAAATGAAAATCAAAGGAAAAACACTTGACATTACTAAACTGTCATAGAATTTATATGGAAAGCAAAGCAATGTACGTACCCACAGAAATTGAGTAAATTTGATAGAATGAACATCTTGAATGTTAACCATATATGTACAATCTCTCCCTCTCTTCTCCTAGGTGTAGGTTGAAGGTCATGTCAGAGTTCAAGGGTCAATCAAGTATACATTCCTTCTGTACTCCTGTTATTTAGTGATGTTGGAAAATATTTCATTATACAGTATTGTTAACAGAGTTACAATAACATTGTAGACAATAGACATTGTATGTAACCAAATCTAGATGTAAACATGTGTGATGTACACAACTGATGATTTGGGGGAAAATTGGAAAGAGAAGCAAAGACTTGTGAAGAGGAAAAGAGAAAATTAATGAATTAACCTGGAATTACACAGAAATGTTGAGCCATGCTGAGAATGAAGAAAATAAAAGCAGCAAGCATTGAAGAGGAACATGAATTGAAAGAATTCCTGAGATATGGCTTAGATAAGAATTTAAGGTCTTAATTGTATACTTGTCTGATTTGAACTCGCAGATTTGAAGACGCTGGATGCTAGATTTGTTCTAGTTTCTATTTCCCTTTAGTCGTTTTTATATTATCCGAAAGTAAAGCTGTACCTGAATTGATCATGTTTTTGAGAAAAAAAAATAGTTCGCAAAACAATTTAGGCATCAATGTTCGTGTTTGCATTAGATTACTTTTAAAAATCATTATCTCATCATGTTTCATCGTCATTCAATAGTGCTTCTTCTGATTTCTTGCATTTTAATGTGATTTTTATGGTAAGTGTCTTTGGATTAAAGATTATATTGTGTTGAATAGCAAGTGTACCTTTGTCACTTATCTGTAAAGGTAGGTATCTGTATTCACATACTCACTTGACTTGATGTTTTTATTGTTAACAACTTTTTTTTTGCGTTAGTAATAGGTCACATTTATGACCTCTAAAGGTCGCATGTTCTGGTACTTTCAGTTCAATTCCTGGACTTATCTAATTGTTTTTTAGTTACTTGGTTAAAATGTTTCTGGTAGGAACAAAGACGCATTAGAATGTCCCAGTTGTGTATGGTTGTGATCCTGTCATACTATCAAAAGTACCAGGATGTGTGACCTTTAGGGGTTCTGAAAGTAGTCTTTTTGTTTGAACAACTTTTGCAGGTGATTTTATAATTATAAAGCTTAATTTTTAATATTAGAGATTTTGTTTGGGGTGGGGTGGGGGGGGGGGTTCATTCTGAAGTTTATTTTAAGGTTTTCGGTTGTTTTTTTAAACAAAATTACAGGTTAGATCATTTAACCCAAATTGTACCAAAATCTTAAACTCCAAGGTGCTGGTACAATTACGGTTAGATGAACATTTCTATGATTTAGCTGTAGCGAAAGTTTACCAGAAAAAAAAA